AGTTCACAATACCATAGTACTGTAGAATAGTACGCCGACTCGATCCTCGACTCGATAAGAACTTTTATCGTCAGAAATGCAAAGAACAAACAACTAATATAACGTTTATTGAATATTTCTTGAGGTGAAAAATTGTAAAATTTATCATTACCAACGTCGTCTTGTCTGAAAAATTACTGCCGAAAAGGATTAGTTAAAATGAGGCATTCGTGAATCATGTCATTAAAAAAAAATTGTTATAAAATTGTATTTTTTATACTGTTAACTATTTTTATACACAAAATAAAATCTTTAAACTGGTTATGTGAATATTTTTACAATACTTTAAAAAAATAGAACATCAAAGAACAAAATCACTAGAAACATTACATCATCCCAAGTGATACTACTTATTTTTCTAATATTCAATATGGCGGATGTATGACGCCATTAGTTTTTTTTTTTCAATAATTATAGCAATATGTATATCGAATCAAAGGTACATTCAGAAGTACTTAACAAGTACATTCAGAAAATATATAACTTGTTTATAAAATTTACTGCGCACTTGATGGAATAAAATTAAAAAACGTGACTGCTTATAACGAACTAAAAATAAAAGAAACAAGTTATATTAAAACTCTGCTAAATAACTTATTTCTTTTATTATTAGTTTGATTTTGGAGTTTTTTTATTTACGCATTTTTTTCTTAGACAGCCATAAATTTAAGAAGGCATGTAAAAGAAGATTATATGACGATGATACCATAAATGACATAGGAATATTTATTACAAAATGATTACCTAGTCCTTTGTTCGATTAGAATAAAACTAGTTGCAATTTACATGTGAGTTTGGGAGCACCTAAGTTATGCTCTGGCCGCTAAGAAAATGCATTCTTGACATTTATTAGTTAGTCTTATATAAGGTATTAATCATTGGGCATACCCCATTATAAGTAACTTACAGATATATTTAAAAATAGAGAAAGCAACATTATTATAAAAAAGGGGAAATCAATTTTACACACATGACAATATCTATGTCGTTTTATAAGATTTTTATTTTAATACGCCAACTAACACAGCAACTCGCACAGCTGTGTGCGCTATTGAGCGTAAAACGGAAACGTCAAATAAAACTCAAAGTAAGCAATTAGACAACAAGGCGAAAACACAAGCACAATAACACACTTCACACAATAACAACGACACCATTTTGAGTAATTGACGAAGTGACGTCATCAAGGAAGAGAAGCTACTTGAAATAACAAATCCTACTATTTCAAATGATGGCAGTTATCCCTTGTAGGTATCATAGGTCACCCATACAAAGTTAAACGGTGCTGCTATTATAGCTCGCTTGGCGTACTTTTCTTTTTTTACTATGTTCGAACGCTCGCATAATGTTATAAAATGGACACAGATTCAACTTTCAGGAGCGCGCAGATATAATGTTTATGCGCAGTACTGAGCTCGAACGGCCTGTGCATCGCATTTTGTAGTAGTTTTTTGTTACACATATCAATTTTATTGAAATAACATTGTAAACTTATGCTTAAAAATTATAAAATCTTTATTCCGTATGAAGTAGTCATAACTTTGGTATATATTTTGTTCGATAATATTACCGTTATACATAGGTAGAACAAATTAACAGAACAAAAGAGTCTGCGCATTTTATGAAATTCTTTCTCAGCTATTTTGGGTTTAATTAAAAAGTTAGCCAAAATGGTTTCAACATGGTTCCAACTAAGCGGTGATTATGCAAACGCTTACCTAGTACATGGCACAGCACTTTAAAGCTATTTCAGCTCTCAAAAGTAGTGCAAATAAGTTTAAAGTCAGGTATTACTTACTCTGACTTGCAAATTTAATAGGAATTCAATAGGCAAGCATTTCAGAACCGGCATGATAATGAGATTGAGTTATCATCATGATATCCTCCTCATAATATTGACGACCACCTTAGCTAAATAACTTCTAGACTCTTTCAGGCGTCAGGAACCATGTAGATAGACACAGATGACAGACCGATGGGAAGGATGTAATCTATGGTAGCGCAGTTCAAGTGCTTGTTTTGAGGGCGAAATATAATAAAAACAAAGCATCCTCGTCTATGTCCCGACAGACCAGGCCCAGATCTAGGAGGGGCAAGTAAGGGTACTTGTCCCGGGCGCCAGAGTCTGATTAGAAAAAAAATGCGACAGACCGTGGGAAGTGTCGCATTAAATATAGGTAGCGAATTTTTGCATCGACTTATGTACCATATATTTATGTAAGTTAGGAATAGGCAGAAGGAAAAAAGAGGGATTGTTCAAAAGAATTGCACTAACACTATAACTTTAGAGGTAAAATAATATACAATAGGAATTAAAAAAAAAAGACAAAATATTACAAATAGCAATTTTATTATTCGAAAACTCACTATTAATAAATGCCATGCAAATAAATTAACAACTTAAAGAGCTCAAGTTACTTATGACTGTTTGCTCAGATGTTTATCGCATCAAAAGCAACGTCATCCTATAGTGGGCTTGTATATACGATACTATATTGACATACTTAATTATACCAAGAAAGTAATTATTTCATCACGATATAAAAATATTTATATTGAAGCTATTTCAGTAAACGTCAACAAAGTTAATAGAACACGCAGTGCCTTTACAGAACGCGCAATTGGATCTGCTACGCTACTATAGCGCGTCACGTATGTTTACACAATGCCACACCGAAAAAGACAGTGTCCCTGATGAACAGACTGTGTAGTGGTACCAATGGTATGTCTGCGACAGTAATAGTTAGTCACCTCGCCGATGTGGAAATATATGGTGCGCAGGGTATTTTAAAATAGCTTATTAAATGAAATTTATTATTAATAAATCATTAATTAATAAAATAAATTTGTAATTTGAAATTATTGATTGAATTGAATTAAACATAAACATATAAGTATTTTAATTGTTCTAAACAAATATTGACCTAAAAGATGTTAGAAATAAATTATTATTATTATTATATTATTTAAGTCGAAAAAAATGCTTTTGCCACTGTCTATGTCACCTGGCAAGCAACAGGGGGTTTGTGGGACTCTCCTTAGTGAAGTAAAGAGCGGCCCATTGGGTCCCTGAAAGCCTACCCATCAAAACCCCTACGGTGCACCCTCTCGTAGGAGATGAGACTCGGGAAGCCGTGAATACATATGCAGTGCCTGAATTATGAGAACTACATGGCCAAGAGCGGACAAATCTGTAGTTCTTCCTCTAACCATGCAAAAGACATCTCAGTTATAACTAATTTATACGACTAAATTTTAAGTGATTATGTGTATTTAGACCTTAGAGTATTAGATTTAGACGTAATTAATCACTTAATATGGAGTTAACTACTTAACACGTGTAAACCAGCCATTATTTTATTAATTTAAACAGAATTCGTGTAGGTTTGTAACGGACTTCAAAAAGGAGGATATTTCTCAATTCGACCGTATATATGATTATTTTGTCACTCCAGCGGACAAAAACAGTGGGCTTCATTAGTAGACGGTAACTTATAATTCAGTAGGTACTTCAATTTTGTATAAAACAGCTGATAATTTTTGATGATTATTTTATCGTAAATTCAAAAACATATCATCCATTTATAGTGAAAATAAATAAAATTCCGACGTTACACATTAACTTAACTAATATTATTTTCGTAATTCAGGTAAATATCCGTGATCTATAAAATCCGATATCAGTTCATCCGTCATTCTAATGAGTTCGCTCACCCCTCTCTCCTTTAGCCGTTTATCCCCAGGACAAGCTTTATCCTTTTTCATAGACAAGAAACAGTCTAGATCTTCTATGGCAAACCATACAATAAACGAGAAAATCGCCAAAAACAAACAAACCGGAAACACTAACTTTAAATCGTATTCGAAATCTGTTTGCGTGTAAATTTTCGATCCTTCTAAGCCGTTGCTGTTTAATATTTTTTGTAAACTTTGATAATAATGATTTAAATAATAACGGAAGTGAATTTTTCGATCTACCGCATCTGTTGCAGTCATTAAAAAAGAAAGTATATCTTGGGCTATATTCGAAAGTCGGCTGTGTTGGAAGTCTATGAGGCAAGCATCTACTGGTTTTCCATTCTGCAAATAAAAAAAAGTAATTAACCATCTATATCTTCATGCAAGTGCAAAGAAGCTATTTAGGGTTCCGTAGCCCCTATTACTAAGACTCCGCTGTCCCTCCCTCCATCTGTCCCAAATACTAAATATAAAATAATAAATACAACAAACCTGAGATTAGTTAACTATGACACATGTCTGTATAAAAAATGCAAATCACTTCTAGAATATTTGGTTAGTTTATAATTAATTTGTTATCTATCTTTCCACCAGCGGCTTCGCCCGCGTGGTCTTGTATTATACTTATAAACCTTCATCTTGAATCACTCTGTATATTAAAGAAAACCAAATTTAAAATCTCAGCGTACAGACTGCCGGAAAAGCCGGAATTGACCGAAGTCAATTTGCGGAGATTTTATACCACAATATAACATTTTAATTATTTTTCAGATTAATACCTTTAGTGTTAAGTGAATCAATAATTTTTTAAGTTCGTTAAGGCGAACATAAAATCCTATCACAATAAAGCAGTATAATATACTAGTATTATCACTACATAGTATAAAACAAAGTCGCTTTCTCTGTCCCTATATCCCTATGTTTGCTTAAATCTTTAAAACTACGCAACGAATTTTGATGCGGGTTTTTTTCATAGATAGGGTGATTCAAAAGGAAGGTTTGGAATATAAAACACTAGAAAGCAATCGAATGCTTTTTTGTATGAACAAAACGGGCGAAGTCGCTGACGGAAAGTTAGTATTTTTTTATAATATCCTCGATTTTTAATTTACGATTTGACGTCGCAGCAATAAAAATGTTGAAATAAACTAAGTCAGCCTTTGATTAATTGAGGTTCCAGATAATCAAGGTTCTACAGTACATGTAAAATACCTCGATGTTGACTATGTGTGATAATAAACAATACTTACTGAATATTTGAATAAAATATTTTCTTTCCACAAATCCCCGTGTCCGTACACCAATCCTTTTGCTTTGGCGACACATTCTTCCATATTCCTCTCAATATTCTTCGATATGCCTTCCAAGACATGTACATAATATTTATCTTTAAATACCGGCAACCACTCATCCACAAAATGCTTTATGAACTCAAATAAACATTCAGGACGCTTCTCCGAAAATGATTTTAACCTATTCGCATATACATTACTAATATCATTTTCTCTTAAAATAAAAGAAAGCGCGTGATATTTAGCTATTGTCTCCAAAGTCACGGTCATGTGGTTGAAGTCAAAATTATTTCCATGGCGTCTTTCGAAACCTTTTGACGTCATATCTTGAAATACCAGCACCCTATTATCTGGTTTGGAATCTATATAATAACATTCCGGAAACAAATTGTCGACATCTACGCTGCTTTTCAAACTTTTGAATATAGGGAACAGAGTAGAATATGCGTGATACTCATTGATGACAATTGCATCAACTATACTCGCAATAGCCCAATTTGGTGGAGTTTTGCATATCAATTTGTATACTTTGTCATTCGTTTTGTCAATCAGAGATATAAGTCTCAAGTTACCAGAATAATTGACTATTTCTTCATCTAGTTTCTTTATGACGTATCTCCATTTTTTATCTACCTTAAGTTTCTTTGCTACATCTGCGAGTATTGATTTTAAACGTTCATCGTCTAAAAGCATTGCGTTTAGATTTTTTTAAATTACAATTGGATCTTAATTAAATATCACTGATAAATATCAAAGTCTCTAATTCTCGTATTGTTTTGTCTCCTTTTTTTTGTTTATTTAAATGCTTCTAATAAAATGAATGATCCAACTGACAGTATCAAGTCTTATGTCAGCGTTTTGCTGTTATACCCACAAATTATATACTCAAGACACAGATGAAACTTCACAGACAACCACAGTGATTACTAAAATTAAATATAGTAGATAAGGAACAAAGCAAAGTAACCGTGACGAGGTAAAAAATATAAAGCAATGCAACAGGTCCACCGCACCGTAGTTAGCTTTAGACTGGTGCATTTAAGGTATTAATGTTTTTATATTGCGCAAGCGCATCAGGCAATACACATCAGGGTTGTTGTGAGAAATCGTAATTCGATTATCGATAAATAATCATGAAAATATTAAAAAGGTGCTTCAAAAAAGTTTGAGAAGGTGAACAATAATATTTGTCACAAGAGAGGTTCAAATATTTAAAAAACAAGGTTCAAATTACAAAATCTGCATTTGAAAAATTATCAAAATCAGACTACTCTGTATAAAGTTTATCAACTATGACTATGATTATACTTTGTTATCTTTCTTATTAGAAAATTATTTGCAAAAAACGATTAAACATATAAAGTCGTAATCTCCATAACGAACCCTTTTTTTCATGTCGGTATTATTATACGATTGTCCCGCCTGTTGGATTCAGAAACAAATCGTTTTAATATAAAGTTAAAGGAAATGGAAAATTCTTTATTCAAATAAGCTCATTTATTATAAGCACCTTTAAACAGTCTAAGCATTTTTTACGACCTTTTTCTAACGGTGACAATTGACAAAAATAGCTAGGCATATGAATAATATCGATAGTAAAAAGGTCACTTCAAAACTTAAATAATTATTAAGACTTGGTTTGGTAATAGAGCTTGATGACGACTGTACAATATTTTTATTTAAATATCATGATGATCTTCCTGTCCTGTTCCCCACATCTGGGAACAGTGCAGGAGGATGGTGATGTCAAAACAATAATCTACGTTCAGGATAAACGTACATACATATAGGGTTTAAAATTATGTATTAAAAGTAAGGTCTTTTCTATAAGTTATATATTTACAATAAATTAAATATGTCATTATATATGTACCAATTACATTTTTATTTGCTCTAGTTGTTATTATTTTTTATCATTGTCTTAGAATAATTTACTTTTATTTGTTATATTTACCAAATACCTTCATTTGTAGTACATTTATAGTAGGGTTCCACAGTAAACAAGTTTATATTAATTTTATATTTTTATCATCCTATTCACGATCTGTATAGGATTTGGGATGTATTGTCAGTAAGATTTATTTTCCCAATTTTGATAATAATGACGTTGGTTTTACCAACAGCTTACATTTATATAAGAGATTTGTTCGTTCGTAGGGTGGGAACCTTGTAATTTATTATTTCAAGCTAAGTCTATTATAAAAACCAGTCTCCCACAAATAAACAAATTAATAATCTACAAAAAATGTATGTACCCATAGTGCAGTATGTGAATTTGTAAGTAGAAATAAAGATATTTATTATTATTTAGAAGTTTCCGTAGTTTGCCATGTCTGTTCGGCCGTTCGACCATACACAATCTAGCTCAAAAACTATGGTATACAGTAAATACGCCGACAAAGTAGTAAAGAAAAATCTCAAAAGAAAAATGTGGTACCCCCCCAATATGTAAAGTGGGTGTTTTTTCGTCTTCTCCATAGTTTGGGGCATCATTGGATCATTCATCATCGTTGTTCGATTTAGTAAACTGTTTGTGACTTATTAAACTTTAAAGTGCTAATTTTCGTTAGATTTAATTGTCTCCCCCCCCCCCTCTACCATCTAAAGGGTCGTTGGTAAATAATCAAAAGTTTACGCATTAGTTCCTACATATATAACAAAGTCAAGAGAGAAACTATCACACTCAAGTTGGATTCCCAAATTAACGAGTTATATGCTACCAATTGTACTTATTTAACTCAAAAATTTCGAACAACTCCAAAGAAAACAACGAACGTGATATTTTTAACTTTTATTAATGGTTAATGGTACGGAATCCTTCGTGCTCAAGACCTACTCGCACTTGACCGGTTTTTTATCTATTCTATGTTTGCCTGTTCCATTTCACTAATATTAATATCACAGATAGTACTCTCTAGTCTCCTCACATTTATTATTCTTAGTTGTGTATTTTAATGTATTATTTGTTTTATCTATATTCGGAACGTAATTATTTGACTTACATTATTTTTAACACAAAATACATAATTTATGTCTCGCGCCTTTGTTTTGCTTCGTTGCTGTTTCCCATAGCTACTGCTCTGCTTTTTCCTTCTTCTTTCCTTTCATATGATCCTATTTCTAGTTAAATAGTAGATTCGTTTTTTGTACTAATTCGTGACGCGATTTTTATTGAAATTTGAGGGAAACTCATAATAACAGCTGGCAATACTGTAAAAAAATCAACAAATTAACGCCATCTATTGGCGGTTCCAAATAATGAAAGGGCGACATTCCAATTTTAAATGTTATAATATCCATTTTATTGGCAGACGGTAACAAATTGGACTAACGTGGAATACGCCCGCTGTAGCATCGTAACACGTCTGTGGAACGTCTCCGCTCGACGGAAAAGGAACTGGTAATTTCCGCTCATCGCAGGGTAGCATTCAGACGTATTTCAAAGCTACACTGCAGTGGTATTTATACAAATCGCCTAGAACTCGATGACGAGTTCAGCGCTGTAACACAATGGAGATTCAATCATCATCACCAGTGTATTGATGTCGCCACTACTTCCCTATAGGTGGAATCGAATAACATCGTATAGGGAGAATGAGCCATGAACCATCACTCGTGACCAGTGCAATGCAACCGGTACCAACGGCTTAACGTACCGAGTACGGAGCTCGAGATAATAGATTGAGAACCCATTCATTCACTGGCCCTTGTGCTATTTATATATATAAAAATACAGTTACAAATGAATCCGTCATTAACCACAAGTTAAAAATAGTTACAAAAATCATTATATATGCATTAAGTTAATTACATTACATATTATAGACAATATAAATATATGCTCGATATAGAACGATTTAAAATTTTCCTATTTGGAATTATTACATCAGACTTTGTTTATGAATTAGTTTAATTCTAATCTGTTGGTAGCAACGTGTGTAGTTTGGCTAAGTAAAGAAAAAGATTGGCTCGAAATCTGTAGATTTCATTGAATCACATTGAATTGGCGATTTAATTTTCGGAATCAATGTAAAAAGTAATGTGCAACACACTGAGCTTAAAACCTATTATATTCAGTTTCTGTTTTTAGTGTAAAAGTGACTCATAATAATCGGTCATATTGTTTGAATAATATATTGTATAATATTGTTTATTCTCGGTAAGACAATGATGTCGATTAACTTTATTGTTATAAACGAGTCAAAGAAACTTATGTTTTATTTATAAAACAAGCCCCTTGTAAAACAATCTACTGATATATGCATTGCAGTTATTATAGAAATTTCTTAAAAAAAAAATGACAATGCCTCAGTCCATCTCTGATTTGCACTAGTTGACTTCATGGGCTTTCATCTCGTCTAAGCTATGATTAACCTCGTCTTGTACCGGCAAAGACTTAAATTGACTTACTCTTCACTGTAACAATTAATATTGATCATTCACCCATAAAATAAGACATTCTTTGGTTCAATATTCAAACGTATGACCATAGATCACCGACTTTGAACTGATTATGTACAAAGAATATGCGTCAGTAAAACTATATAATACTAGCTTTTGCCCGCAACTTCGTTCACATATTATTAGTATTTTAATACTAATAACTATTATTTTTAACCAACTTTTAAAGGTGAGAATAAGTTTTAAATTTGACTGTTTTCTTGTATCCATTTTTTTTTTGTTTGAAAGAGTATATCCTCAAAATAATAGCATTAAAACTTTGACGAAATTTAATTAGTAGCTTTGTTTTAATACTAAAAAAACTGGGAGGCCTAAATGATCTTGCTATAGTGGACGTCATATAGCAACTCTAAAATAAAAATGTTAACTTTCATAAACAAATAGACTTAAAAATCTAAAAATAATCCTTATTATGATCATATGATAAATTCAAGCTTTTGTACGGATCTTACCTTACACTTTGTTGAGGAGAATTATACAAAAAAATATGAATAGTAGTATACTACATCCTCGATATTATTTACATTATCGATGGAAATGCAATAGTATGATTAAGCGAAGATTTTTTTGCAATGGGATTCGTTTTTAGTTTGCTGTCCGTCCCTCCGTCCGTCTGTCCGTCTGTCTGTCTGTCCATCTGTCACCAAGCTGTATCTCATGAACCGTGATAGGCAGACAAATGAATTTTTTAAAGGTTATGTATTTCTGTTGGCACTGTAATATTTATAAAATGGGTAATATAAATTGTATTCTTTTCTTATAAACATCGTAGTAAAATCTAAACTAGTCATCCAATTTATTTCGTTTAAAAGACAATTTTTTTGAACATTAAATTTCTATGAAGATAAACATATTTATTTTGATAGTGATTTACGTAAATAAGTAACAAACATCCAAATATCGAAACATCCAAACCTACAAACTTTCGCCTTTATAATATTAGTATAGAAGGATAAAGGATTGGTAAAGAGGGATTGAAAGTTGTAGTAAAAGTGAAAATTTATTATATACATTACAGAGACTACCTTTTATTGAAATGATATTAGAATTACACCTTATTATTTTACAGGATTGATAGATACCTTATATTTTGGGTCGTAGATGTATTTATTTTGGTAATGACATGATTTATGTAGATGTCATTACTTATGATAAAGAGTTGGTAAGTTTCTTTCGCTTGTTCTTATTGTCAGCTAAAAGATGTCCTCAACAAGTGGTAGAGGAAAAAAAAT